ATTCTTACAGATTTTTTAACACCACAGACTAAGTTAAAATTACTTTTATTGAGGTATAATGACAAGGAACATTACATTAGTTTCAGATAACGACCGGTCACTATGATGTGCACTGACCACCAGGGGGAAGACACTTAATGCAGGCGCTGCCCTCTGGTGGTCAGTGTGCTCCCACAGGGGAGTGCCGCTCAGCCGAAAGCAGGACTCATGGCTGGCAGCGCTAAGGTGCAGCGAGAGCAGCCAGCCGAGTGGTAAGGAGCAAGGGGTCTGGGACTGTAAGAGGGTGCAGACCGGGCTGAGGGACCTCGCTGCCCCCGCCCCACCGCATGAATTTTGTGCACCAGGCCTCTAGTACAACATAATTTGATATCTGTATAAAAATTATTTTTAGAACAGACTGAATAAATTGAGTCTTAGCAATCAATTGCAAAAGTAGTTACCTAAAACTTACCAAGTTGGAACTAGAAACAGCAGGAAAAAAAGTTGAGGAATGAAAAGTAGAAAAGGAGGAGATAGAAAATAGAATTAGGGAAGGGAGTATGTCTGTTAGTATAAACAGGAAAAGGGTAACTTTATAGAGTCAATCCTCACAGTAATACTATACCTAACAGCTGGCTGTGTTCCCCTGTGATGGAGTTCTGACTTGGCTCTGAAAAACAAACAATTGAAAAGAAAAGAAAAAAATGAATGACCAAAATAATTTCTTAAAAATCAGCAACAGAAGTTAAGCAAGGAAATAAGCAAAACAAATTTTCTAAGTGTTTAAGAAACATTAATGAAAGGATAACAAAAATATAATAAGCTCTTAGGAAAAATAATTGCATTACTTCCTTGAAAAGTTAAACAATAGAATTACCACATGGCCCAGCAATTCCACTTTTAGGTATATATCCAAAATAAATAAAAACAGGAACTCAAACAGGTACTTGTGTGTCAATGCTTATAAGAGCATCACAATAGCCAAAACGTGGGAACAATCCACATGTCCTTCAAAAGATGAATAGATAAACAAAACATGGTATATACAGAATATTTTCAGACATAAAAAATGAAGTTCGGATACCTGCTACAACATGATGAACCCTGAAAATATTATGCTAAGGGAAATAAGCTGGATGCAGAAGGACAAATACTATACTATTCTATTTGTATGAAATATCTGGAAAAGACAAGTTTATATATAGACAAAGTAGATTAGAGGTTACCAAGGATGAGGGGAATGGGGGAATGGGATGTTACTGCTTAATGAGTACAGAATTTCTGTTTGTGGTGATGAGAAATTTTAGAAACAGATAGTGGTAGTAGTTGCATGCCAATGAATTGTGTACTGAAGTGGTTAAAATGACACATTTTTTCATATATATTTACTAAAATAAAAAGTAAATTTAAAAAAACAACACCACACTAATAACAGCCGGGCCGGTATGGCTCAGTGGTTGAGCATCAACCATGAACCAGGAAGTCACAGTTCAATTCCCAGTCAGGGCACATGCTTTGGTTGCAGGCTCCATCCCCAGTAGGGGGCGTGCAGGAGGCAGTTGATCTGATGTTTCCATCTCTCCCTTGCCCTTCCTCTTTCTGAAATCAATAAAAACATTAAAAAATAAACTTACACATGCCCAGCTGGAGTGGCTCATTTGGTTGGATGCTGTACTGGGCACTGAAGGGTTGATGGTTCGATTCCCAGTCAGGGCATACACCTGGGTTACAGGTTTGATCCCCAGTATGGAAGGTAACTGACGGATGTCTCTCTCTCCCCACCCCTTCCTCTCTCTAAGTGTGTCCTCAGGTGAGGATTAAAAAATATAACAACAACACAAACTTGACAAAGCAATACTCGTTTCATAAAGCAGAAGGATGATTTAGGGTCAACAACATGAGTTAACATTTTCTCCTTAATGACAACAGAACATGTGACACACATCCGTAACAACTCAAAGTCAAGACAGAAGTACAGCACGCATAACTATTAACAGATATGTTCTGATTTAATTTTAAAATAAAATGACAAAACTGGCTTTTACAAATATCTATTACTTCAGTAACCTATCATAAAATCAATGGCTATAAGCCAAGTTCTTAATGCAAGAGATACTGACAATCACCATTTAACAACTACCACTTAAGTATTTTAAAAGCTTGAAAAACATTAAGGGATAAATATGGAAAAGACTCAGCTCCATTTTCCTCAAAGATTAAGTCTCTTGTGATACACAGGATTACATCTGACTTTCTCAAATGTGACTAGGGAATAACAATTTTGGAAGGGGAAAAGGTAGGGGATAGCCTGTGAACAACAATGGGGGAAAAATTACACCTTTATTTTCACTAACCTCTAATTGAAGTTTAGTATGTTCTCCAAATGTAGGCAACAAATTACATCAAAGTACCTATAATTTGTCAACAATAAATATCAGATATTCTCCTATCACATTTATAGTAGCTGCATATATTGCCATATATTTCTAGAACACTTTCATTCTTTTTTTTTAAAATAATTAAATTACTAATGACTAATCCATTTAAAGTAAGTGGCTGTATACTAAGTATTTTTTTTAATATATTTTATTGATTTTTTACAGAGAGGAAGAGAGAGAGATAGAGAGTTAGAAACATCGATGAGAGAGAAACATCGATCAGCTGCCTCCTGCACATCTACTGGGGATGTGCCCGCAACCAAGGTACATGCCCTTGACCGAAATCGAACCTGGGACCTTTCAGTCCACAGGCCGATGCTCTATACACTGAGCCAAACCGGTTTCGGCCACTTTCATTCTTAATTTAGTTTTGAAAAACAGAAATTCCAAATTTTTCTATTCTAACATATTTTTTGCAACATACTAGTAGGTGAATTCCCAGTTTTAATTTGAACTCATCTTACTTCCTAGCTAAATAAATAATATGGTTCATTAGTGAATTCTACTAAACATTCAAAGAATTAATACCAATTTTTCTCAAGCTCTTTCAAAAAAGGGAAGTGGTGGGACTACTTCCAAACTTATTTTACAAGATTAGTATTACTCTGATACCAAAACTAGTCAAGACACCACAAGAAAAGAAAATTAAAGGCTAATATCCCTGATGAACATAGATGCAATAATCCTAAAGATATTTTTGGCAAAATTAATTCAACAATACATTTAAAGAATCATATACCATGATGAAATGGAATTTATCTCACCACAAGAAAAAAAAAGTATGCAACTACATATGGTAGCAAATGTTAACTAGACTTTATGTGGTAAACATTTTGCAGTATATACAAATATAAAATCATTATGTTATACTCCTGAAACTAAACTATTGTTGTATGTCAATTAGATTTCAATAAAAAAAAATAAAGATAAAAAAGAATACGAGCCCGGCCAGCATGGTTCAGTGGCTGAGCATTGGTCAGGGTTTGATTTCCATTCGGGGCACATGCCGGGGTTTTGGGCTTGATCTCCAGTGTGGGGTGTGCAGGAGGTAGCCAACCAATGATTTGTTCTCATCATTGATGTTTCTCTCTCTCTCCCCCCTCCCCCTTCCTCTCTAAAAATCTATAAAAAATTTTTTTTAAATAGTTGTTCTTGCACATTAAGACACAATAGAAATAATAGATCCATAGTAACTTAACATACTAGATCTCGCTCATCCTCTCCCTGTCCTCTCTCTCTTGTAGGGGAAAATTTGGGGCCCATTTCTATAGAGAAGCAGGTATACAAATAGTATGGAAGGAGGAGAAGAGAAAGAAACATAGAATTTAGAACCAGAAGAACTTTAGTCATCATCTAGATCTACTCTAGTGACTCTAAAGGATAATTTGGAGAGAAGTTATCAGCATCTTCTTTTCTCTCTAAAACCGTACCAAGATTCTTTCTCAAGATTCTGATTCTCACTTAATTAATGGGAATGTCTTTTTTCTCAGGTGTTCTAGGACAGAACAAATTGAGAACCTCAGATTTTAGTATTTATAGTGGAGAAGACAAATGCCTGGGTTAATGAGTGGCCAAAGACACATTCACCTCTGCCAGAAGAGAAAGATTAGAGATATACTCTTGATGTCTTGAGAACCTATGTTCATGCTTCTCAATAAGCTGCAAGTCTAACTTTCTTATTCTAAAACAAAGTATAATAGCCCAAAGCAATTTATCAGGAATTGCCAGGAATGTATCTATGAATAAAAAATTGAAAAACATCCCAGAACACTCAGGCAGAATAGGTATGATTTTAGAGATCATAGGATTTTAGAGGTCAGAGTATAAGTGATTTTTCTTTTAAACAATTTCTGTTCTTCTGTACTGTATGATATACTGCCTTGCCTTCTGAGCTGGGCATAAATGATGTGTGTGCATTCTCTAGTCAAGCTGATACTTTTCTTTTGAATACCCTATGTAGTTCCTGTAAATCCAACTTAGATTTTTATCTTTCAATTATAATGAAAGGAATGGGGGGGGGTGTCTTTACTTATTTGATAAGTTGAAGATCAACCCGTCAGAACCTGTAACTGCTTCATTAATATATATAAAAGCTGAAACAAGGGCAAATCTAGGCATGCCTGTAAAAATAATTGGTAAATGGTTTATGCTGAAGGGCGTTTCTCCGTATGCAATCCAAATTGTGCAGTGCAATTAATAAAATTGTTCCAGGCATCTTTCTATTGTCCTATATCTGAACTCTCCCATTTAACATTTTTTCCTATGTCACTGGTTAAGGCACACCCAAGTTTGCCTAAGACTGGGAGTTGTTCCTAATATCAAAATGAAAGCATTTAATCAAATTACTTCCTATAATAGGAACAATTTGCCAATAATAGAATGGTTTCTACTCTTCAATGGTCTTAATAAATTAAGCAACTTCTGAGTCATAATATAACTAGTTAGTACTCAAAAGCCTGTGACATTCTAGCAAATGGTAGTTCATATAAAAAATAGATACATAAACCTTTTCACAAATGCAATCATAAAAATAAACTGAAATATTTCCTCTAAACAGTAATAATATAGTCATTTTACAAACAGGTACTTGCTCAATATATTTATCTTGGGTAAGTGGTAAAGAATGAAGATTTTATTCAGTTTCTTGCCATGTGCCTTGGAAAACAGAGAGAAAAATGACTGTGGGTGGTACTCGCAAAACTGCCTCTGTAAGTAGTTTTGCTGAAAAGCTTTATTATTTCCCCTTGCTTGCCCACAGCAATAGTCTTTTTTTCCAGAATTTCCTTTGATAATCACTTCATCTACCATTCTTGATAGAGAAAATTAAGCAAATAAAGTCTACTGTATTATGCATCTAAAATTCAGTGTGGCCCAGCTGGTGGTGCTCAGTGGTTGAGAGTAAACCTATGAACCAGGAGGTCATGGTTCAATTCCTGGTCAGGACATATGCACAGTTTGTGGTCTTGATCCCCAGTAGGGGGCATGTAGGAGGCAGCCAATCAATGATTCTCGCTCATCATTGATGTTTCTATCTCTCTCTCCATTTCCCTTCCTCTCTGAAATCATTTCCCTCTCCCTCTCCTTCTTCTCTGAAATCAATAAAAATATATTTTTTAAAAAAGTGTGGAAGTTTGTCTTCATTCAAGATAAAATCAGTAACTTCATTAAATTGAAGACTGTTGTCTAATTGTTTAGGAAATGTAGACATGACCACATGCATATACATCAGGACGATTAGCTTATTATGCTACTGTCTATATTATCTAGATATACTACAAAAGTGTTTCAGGATACCAAATACCCCAATCACCAGTCTTAACATATTTCTAATTTTCTGGACTCTGACTTTTAAAATACCAAAGCAGCATCAATCATCGTAAGAAATCATCTGACTCTGATTTAGGCAAAGATGATAAAGACTGAATCAAAGACAAGTACTTCAACATTCACACTTTTTAGAGTCTGCCTCTCTATATGAGTAGGCCCTCATTTTAGTGAGGAACCTAAGAAGGAAACAAGTTGAAATGAGGTAAAATCTGAAAAGCCTATCGCTCTTCATATAGATTTTGAACTTACTGCAATTAAACTAGATAGACCTGGAAGAATTTACATGTGATTAACTGTGTTTAAATAGATAGATGGGTGAAAAACATCAGGCAATTTTAGGCAAAGTAAAATTGAACAGTGAGATAAAAATGTAAAGCAAGGCAGAAAAAATTAATAAATCATATTTTCTAGTCTTACCTCATAAAGGAAAGTTAAAAGGTACTTCTTTAAGTTTTTAATATACAAAGAATATAATTATTTTATTTTTTATTATTTTTTACATGCAACAAACCTTAATATTTCAAGAAAAACAATCTTAAATAATGATAAATGCAGTAAACATTAATATCTCAAGAAAAATGATTTTAAATATGATGTTACATATAATAAACACCAATTATTCAAGAAAAATGATCTTACATATATTACATGCAATAAACATTAATATTTCAAGAAAAGGATTTTAAGCATAATATTACCAAAAATGTACTAACATAATATATCACAAATGTGGTAGGAAATATTAAAAATCTGCAAATAACAGGATTACTTGTATTATATTCTAGAATATTCCCCCTCAACCCCGGCTCTATTTTTGTTCATCAGTTTATGTTGTTCATTATATTCCACAAACGAGTAAGATCATATGATATTTATCTTTCTCCAACTGGCTTATTTCGCTTAGCATGATGCTTTTAAAGTCTATTTTGTCAGATATGAGTATTGCTCCTCCAGCTTTGTTTTCTTTTCAATTTGCATGGAAAATTTTTTCCCATCCCTTCACTTTCATCTCATGTGTGTCTTTTGTTTTGAGGTGGGTTTCTAGTAGACAGCATATAGTTGGGTCATGTTTTTTGTATCCATTCAGCTACCCTATACCTTTTGATTGGAGCATTCAATCCATTTACATTTAGGGTTATTATTGAGCGGTACTTATTTATAACCATTCTAATTCTGTATGGCTAGGTTTCTCTCTCTATTTCTTCTTCTTGGCAATCCCTACAGCAATCTCTTTAGCATTTCTTGTAATGCTGGCTTGGTGGTGATGAACTCCTTTAGCCTTTTTTTTTTGGTCTGGGAAGTTCTTTATTTGACTGTTTATTTTGAATAATAGCCTTGCTGGATATAGTAATCTTGGTCTCAGATCCTTGCTTTTCATTACCTTGATTACTTCATGCCATTCCCTTCTGGCCTGGAGACTCCTTATGGGGACTCCTTTGTAGGTGAATTCTCTTTTTTCTTACTGCCTTTAAGATTCTTTGTCTTTAATTTTTGGCATTTTCATTATGATGTGTTTGAGCAAGGGTCTGTTTGGGCGCTTCTTGTTTGGGGTTCTCTGTGCCTCATGAACTTGTGTGACTTTTTTTTTCCAGGTTAGGGAAGTTTTTTACCATTATTTCTTCAAACACCTTCTCTATTCCTTTCTCCCTTTCTGCCTCTTCTCGTACACCTACTATCCTAATATTGTTACCTTTCACATTGTCCCACAGCTCCCTTAAGCTGTCCTCCTGTTTTTTAATTGTTTTTTCTTTTTGGTTCTCTAATTGAGTGATATTTTCAACTCTGTTTTCTAATTCACTGATTCGATCCTCAGCTTCCCCTAATCCACTATGTATTCCTTCCAATGTGTTATTTGTGTTATGTCATTCTTTATCTCAGACTGTTCTTTTTTCATACCGTTGAGCATTTTTAACATCATTACTCTGAACTCTGTTTCAGATAAATTTCTTATCTCTGCTTCATTTCTCTCTTCTTCTGGAGAATTCACTAGTTCTTTCATTTGGGGGTTGTTTGTTTCTTTCCTCATTTTGGTTGTCTGTTTGGGTTTGTGACTATGTATTAGATCCCATATAATAATTAGGTAGATCCTATACACCTCTCAATCTCTAGTGCAGGACAGTGTTAAAAACTGTTTCTGACTAATTGGATCAGGCAAAGACTCAAAGCCTCCAGAGACCACCTCTGTCTACGGACTAATAGGATTCCAACTTGAATTGCTTCCAGGCAATCATCCTCAGGTGTGGCAAGAGTTTTTTTCAACAGGGTGGGGCAGTTATTTCTGTCTGGAGGCTAACTGTTACTTTTAATCTCTTAAGTGGCTTCAGGGAAAGGTGTTTCCCAATAGAGTGTGTGGACCGTCTTCCCCTCAGGAAAGGCAGATATCAATGTGGGAAAGATGTTCTCTGCTGTGTGAGGGAATGGCTCAGTTCAGGAAATTTGGGGTGTCTGCCTTCTGAGCTCTACCCTCTGAATCCCCAGTCCTGGGTTTTGCTCTCACAGCTCCAGTCCACTTCACCCTCCCGCTGCTAGAGCACAAGGTGGGTGGCTCCACAGGGAATTTTTGTGTGTTAGCCCTTCAAGAGGGTGCCCGAACTTTCAGCTGCCACTCCCTGGCAGACAGCATCCCACTGCTTTTCACAGCTAGATGTTATGTGGGTACTCTCCTCAGATTTGGTGCTCTCTGCTGGGGAGCCCAGCTTCAGGATTAGATCCCAGAGTTCTCAGTGGCACCCCCCCCCACACACACACACCTGAGATATCTCTGCAGGACATCAGTTGCCATCTGGGGGTGCCCAGCCAGCTCTTTCGCACCTCCGCCCCTCCTTCCAGTCTCTATGCGGTCTCCACCTTTGGTCCTTGGGTATCAGGGTTCTCTCCTGTGAGTTTTCCGTTGATTATTCAGGAAGCCTTTCCGTATTTCAGTTGTAATTCCAGCTTGTTCCTGGGAGCATGTCCCTGCAGCATCCTACTCTACCTCCGTTTTTAATCTCCCCAAAGCATATAATTTTTAAAAGATATTAACAGTTTTCTTCTCATCTGAGAGATGAAAATCAAAACAACAATGAGGTACCATGTCACACCTGTCAGAATGGCTATCATCAACAAATCAACAAACTATGGTACATCTACACAAGGGAATACTACACTGCTGTAAAAAAGAAGAAACTCTTACCATTTGCAACAGCATGGATGGAACTGGAGAGCATTATGCTAAGTGAAATAAGCCAGTTGGAGAAAGATAAATATCACATGATCTTACTCATTTGTGGAATATAATGAACAATATAAACTGACGAACAAAAATAGAGCCAGAGGGGGAATATATTCTAGAATAGAAGTAGTCCTGTTATTTGTAGATTTTTAATATTTCCTACAACTTTGTGATATCATTATGTTAGTACAGTTTTGGTAATACTATTATACTTAACATCCTTTTTTTCTTGAAATATTAATGTTTATTGCATGTAACATTATATTTAAAATCATTTTCCTTGAAATATTAAAAAAGAAAATAACTAAAAGACAAACATATATTACTGTATATCAACTGTAATTGAAAAATAAAAATGATTTAAATAAAAAAATAAAAATAAAAACTAAATAAAAGATGGAGCTGCTGGTTAGAGAATGGACTGTGGAGGATGCAAGAATAGAAACGGGGAACCAATTAGGAATCTTAGGAAGGTATGATAATGAATGTAGTAAAGATGGTAAAAGTTGTGAGGGTGCTATCTTCTGGAAGGAGAGCTCATGAGTTAATCTGCAAACTTAATGTCCATGTTACTTTAAAATTTGTAGTTCTTTTCCTTCATTTATTCAATATTATTTAGTATCTTCCACATGTGAAGCACTATTCTAATATAACAAAATCCCTACCATCAAAGAGCTTACATGTTTGTGGAGAAGACACAAACAATAAACAAACAACAAACTATATGTGAAGAGTAATAATAAACAAACAAGAAAGCAGAGGAAGAGAAGAGAGAATTAGTGGGGGGTGGTTTCTGTGCTGGTTTTGATACCAAGTTTAAAAAAGTCTCTCAGCCCTCACTGGTTTGGCTCAGTGGATAGAGCATTGGCCTGTGGACTTAAGGGTTTCGGGTTTGATTCCAGTCAAGGGCACATGCTTGGGTTGCGGGCTCAATCCCAGTGTGGAGCATGCAGGAGGCAGCTGATCAATGATTCTCTCTCATCACTGACATTTCTACCTCTATCTCTCCCTCTCCCTTCCTCTCTGAAATCAATAAAAATATATTTTAAAAAATAAAAATAAAATAAAAAGGTCTATTAGATAATGTGACATCTAACCAGAAACTTGAAGTGAGGCC